TAATGTTAATATAACAGCCTCGCCTGAAGCTTCCCATTCATAAATTGTGTGACCAGTGTCCCGTATTTATGATATGTTAGGGAAGATGTGTTGTACATTTGTTATTGTAAAAGGGAGTTATTTCAGAGAGGATATATATATGGGTATTCCCCTCATTAAACCTTTCTTTCGTTGGTGTCTATTAAACGTATCCGGTATTTAATACATTTGAATGATGTAGGAAAGTATGTGCGTGTAGATGTTGTACCTATATCCGAACACGAATGTATGACACCTTTCAATAGATCAATTACGGTTATAACCACGACACGCAACATGACTATGAGCGTGGTTAGCAGTTCATATTTTTTAAACACATCGTAAATGACAGATTTCTGATGAATGAACTCGCCCGCACACATGTCTATAGGGTTATGTTCGCCCGAACTGTAAACAGTGACACATTGATAACAGGAAGGGTGTGTGGAATGCACTCGTCCTTGTAAGGGTAAAATACGCGTTTAAACGCACCATTTAAATGATGACGACATTACTTTTTAGATGTATTGGTATCAGTGAGTGAGTGAATTTAGTTTTACGCCACACTCGGCATTATTCAAGCTCTAGGACGGTGGTCTGTCAATAAACGAGCTTGGACCAGACAATCCAGTGATCAACAGCATGAGCAGCGATCTGTGCAACTAGGAACCGATGGCACGTGTCATCCGAGTCGGACCAACCGATCCCCGTCAGTCGCCGATAAGCATGGGTTACTGAAGGTCGATTTTTATAACCCGGGACCTTCACGGGTGTAGTATGACGAAGACTATATACTAATATGATCGCTTTTTTAACATACTCACAAGTGTGCTGTGAAGAAAAGAGTGTCTTCCAAGAATCCCTGCACGTGTAAGACAGTATAAACTCTACAGTAGTGTACCCCGACAAACAGTTTTACTCTCGCCAGCAAACGGATTGGACGTGAACAACATGAAGAAAGCATCAGAGATTAGACTTGACCCTAGAGATATATTTAGGAAGACTACGTTGAGAAAATCACAACAGAGAAAGAAACCACAAGCAGCCAAGAAGTCGACGCTGAAGACAAAGAAGAGACAGGTAACACCTAAAATGAAAACGATGACAACCCAACAGGGATCGAAGACAACACCCCAACCCGTGAAAATACAACATGTGTCGGAGGTGAAGGCTGTGGTGGAACGGGCAATTGCTGCCTTGAAGCGTCAACAGAGTCAAGGGTATAAAAGAAAGCTTCATACCCTCTAATCGCACACCGTATTGGATCACCATGGGGGTTGCCACCTGTCCGGACTGTGAAAAAATGTTTTCAAGGAGAGATGTCATGTTACGACACAGGAGAAATAAACATAGCATACCGCCGCCGCCGTTACAAGCCCATCCGCTACCGCCGCCGCCGCCGCAAATCCACCCGCCATTACAAGCCCACCCGCTAACGCCGCCGCCGCCGCAAGTCCACCCACCGCCGCCGCTGCGTCAAGCCAACCCGCCGTTCAGCCCATCCGCCGCCGCCGCCGCCGCCGCCGCCGCCATCGCAAGTCCACTCGTGGCTGCCTCATTTACCATGCATATCTGATCTTCGAGAACAATTCAAGTTCCTGATTCCCTCAAATGCGCTCGTTGTGGGACCCAGTGGTTGTGGAAAGTCTGTGTTTACCTCTCATGTTCTCCGGCATGGCCTGATCCAACCCCAACCTACCCGCATCGTTTGGTGTTATACTCAATGGCAGCCATTATATAAGGACCTCGGTGAGCAGCTGCCTCAGCTGACCTTTGTCAAAGGAATTCCCTACGATATCTTGGACGAGGATTACTTTGATGCTCGTCAACAGAACGTGTTGGTCCTGGATGATTTCCTGGCCGAAGCAAAGCACGACAAGCGTATTTCGCGGTTGTTTACTCAAACCTCACATCACAAGAATGTATTGATCTTTCTCTTGATACAAAATCTGTTTCCGAGAGGTAAGGAATCGAGAGACATTGCTTTGAATGCGCATTATGTGACCCTGTTTCATTCCCCCATAGATAAACAGCAAATCAAACTCTTCGCTCGTAGAATTTTCCCCGAACATATGGATCACTTTATGGCTATGTATGAAAAGGTTACTGAAACACCCTATGGACAACTCACCATCGATCTAAAACCTACCACCAAAGATAAGGATCGACTGCATGTTAACCTCATAAATGAGGAAAACAGGAGAACAACAGCACAGTCTGAACCTGATCTGCGTAGGGAGAAGTTGACTACAACAGAATCTCTGGATCGTCCTCTGACACAAGAAGAGAGATTGCCCCAACATCAGCTCACGCCAATTGAAACCGATTCAGACACGAGTAGTGAGACATCATTGACTATGGCCACGGCTTGCGCAGATTGCGGGGTGCTGATAGATAACATGCACGATCTACAGCGACATATCAAACACTGGTGTCCGGCCAATAGCCTTCAACCTAAGAGAAAGCGTGCCAGGCTCGAGAGTGATGACGATGACAGTGACTTTGACGACCTAGCCTCTTCCCAGAAAGGCAGTGGTCTTGCCGTCAAACCTCCACGTGGGAAGTCAACATTCACTAATATGGAAGCCGAGGAGTGGCAAAATGTAGGCTTACAACGCATCTGGAAGCAGGTGTACGATACGTTTCATGTCAAGATGAAACTGCAGAAAAAAACAGTACGAGCGACAGGGACGAACGCAAGAATGGATTGAGAGACGATTGAAACTGAGGTGGGAGGATCTAGTGCGTAGTACTCTCAACTATGCGATGGAATATACCACGTACTTTAAAGAGGCACCTCTGTTTCAAAACATGCTATACAACCTGGGAGACATGAATCCCTCCACGGAACAATCCGTTCTCAAAAATAAAATCAAACTCCTCCTAAAACCCAAGATGAAAGAGATCCTGCCTTTGATGGATATGCCGGAAATAGAAAGTGAGACTGAATCTGATAGCGTTGCAGAGGATAACGACGGTGATGACGAGGAGGAGGATGATGACCGTGAGCAGAACGATTAGGCATAAATACCCATCACTACTATATCAGTCTAACAGTCTGAAGAGAATGCCGAGTCAACGCCACGCGTCTAGTTTGATTCATATTTTGAAAACACCTCGTAAACTGAGGCGTTTGAACGATAAGAAACGCCGAATTTCACTGTACGTGAGAGGAATGGTGAAACTGGGGCCTCCTGGACGGAAATCGTTACAAGCAATGGATAAAGCATAGACTATAGACAACCATTCAACCTTAAAACAGCGTAGAAAAGGAAACATTCAACAGTGCGAAATGTGTTTCAAAACGTGGACTCGCTGTTTAAACAATAGGGCCTTCGAGCAGCAGCAGCAGCATGTGTATATGAGTGACTAAATAATGTTCCAGAGTGAATACTATTGTCCATTCGTATATCACGGCTTTGTATGGAACCGATTGGCTCGAATCAATAAATGATACGAATGAATTGTTTGGGTTTTTTTTCTCAGTTTGTTTGCATATGAGTATATAGTCTTCGTCATACTACACCCGTGAAGGTCCCGGGGTATAAAAATCGACCTTCAGTAACCCATGCTTATCGGCGACTGACGGGGATCGGTTGGTCCGACTCGGATGACACGTGCCATCGGTTCCTAGTTGCACAGATCGCTGCTGATGCTGTTGATCACTGGATTGTCTGGTCCAAGCTCGTTTATTGACAGACCACCGTCCTAGAGCTGGAATAAAGCCGAGTGGGGCGTAAAACTAAATTCACTCACTCACTGATACCAATTATACATCTAAAAAGTAATGTCATCATCATTTAAATGGTGAGTTTAAACGCGTATTTTACCCTTACAAGGACGAGTGCATTCCACACACCCTTCCTGTTATCAAATGTGTCACTGTTTACAGTTCGGGCGAACATAACCCCATAGACATGTGTGCGGGCGAGTTCATTCATCAGAAATATGTCATTTACGATGTGTTTATAAATATAAACTGCTAAACCACGCTCATAGTCATGTTGCGTGTCGTGGTTAGAACCGTAATTGATCTATTGAAAGGTGTCATACATTCGTGTTCGGATATAGGTACAACATCTTCACGCATTTACTTTTCCTACATCATTCAAATGTATTAAATACCGGATACGTTTAATAGACACCAACGAAAGAAAAGTTTAATGAGGGGGGGAATACCCATATATATCCTCTCTGAAATAACTCCCTTTTAAAATATCAAATGTACAACACATCTTCCCTAACGTATCATAAATACGGGACACTGCTCACACCATTTATGAATGGGAAGCTTCAGGCGAGGCTGTTATATTAACATTAATTGTAAGGTAGTGTATGTTGACATTGTTATGGGCGGCCGGTCGCTTAGTCTCTCTGCTAAACATTAGCTCGTTCTTGCGCGCTAAACGTAAACTGCTAGCTTGCTGATTGCGTAGTCTTATCTATTTTGTCTATATATATTTTTTTTTTCCATACAGGTTGTCGAACGTTCATGGTGTACAACGTGTAGACCGTATAAGATGGATTTGATCCAGCTAGACGTACATTTTTTTCCCTACATTACACGGCGTATATCGTGTTGACATAACCCGTCTCTATTGTGGTACTTGTACTTTCAACACACACCCTTCATTCATCAAACCAGATCGCACGCTCTAGCGAGCGCGGGTTAAACGACGAGGCCACGTCAGTTGTCAAGCGCGCTCAATTCAAACTGGGCTGACGGGTACGGTCTGTCTATTCAAGGCAGCACGCTATACACATAGCTCTATTCATAACCTTTTACTTTTGTTTTATTATGAATTCTTTTCTGTCTTATAAACACACACCTTTCATTCCCCCTCACCTGTGACGCGCTGTTGATGCATGAGTCATCCTATCCGATCACGTGACTTGGATCAGCCAATCACCTTCGCATCCGCCTGGATCAACCGGATCAACCAAAAAAGGTTCCTGCCTACTGACTCTATACTACTATAATGTTTTTCTAAGGAGTCATCACAACAAAACGAGACTCATGACGTCTTCATTGAAAAGTAAAAAGTAATTTTCAATCATTACACAAACAGTCCTCTACTGTTTAATATGAGCTGTTTGCGTACTAATGTAAGGTCAATGTATTGAAATATCTTTGCATTTAATTAATAATACGGTCGTTTTGGTGTTTTGAAGCGTTTTCAAGAAGCACAAGACACGATTTTCAGATCCGTAATACAAAAACTGCACCATCAGTAATCAGCATGTGTTTGAAACATGCGTCAAAACCTGGGACCCTGCTCCTCTAAAATCGTGCAATGAATGCTATAAGTTACCAGTGTTAGCAAGTACAAGGATTTTTAAATGATTATGATGGCCAATGCAAGAAATTATGTTGTGTTTTCAGAAGATAATGATATTACTGCCAAACAAGCTTAAGAAACACAGCACCTTGGCACAGCAGGCGTTCCACTGCAAGGGATGAATCTATTTCCACTGAACAGGGGACAGCGGTGGATTGTGTAATGCACGTGCTCAACTGTATTTGTCAATGCGCCACTTCGAAACGACTCAGTCGTTGACATCGCTGACCCACGAGCAAACCTTCCACCCCTGCTGTTGTTATGGACTGTACAGATTATGCTGATTAGCGGATTCTGAGCCTGGATTTATGTTTGTTTAGCAGTATCTCATGAAGAAATATGGCTCATTTACATTGCTTGGTTTCATGTTGAATAAGCCTCCATGTTGACATGTACTGGTGCCTATATATTGCATTGGCTACCAGAAAAATAACATAAGGTGGCCGGTGGCTCCATTTGAAAAAGATTTTTTTCCGAAGACCTACTGAAACCATCTTGTCATAGTATTATAATCATAATATAATTATGGTTCTCCCTTTCATTAGACTCCTAGTCTGGTATGTATTAAGGTCAGCTAAGGGTCATTCTCAATCACCCAGGGTACCGCACACACAAGGTAGTGGAACTGGATATTTCAGACGGACACATTGGTTCATTAAGGATCTGCTGTTACAGCCTTATTGTCATCCTTAATGAAATACGGGGTACATATATCATTCAATATAACATATTGACAAAGTTGTTTGCATGAACAATATGATTCGTCCTTCACTTTGCCTTTCTTGTTGATCATCTGCTGTTCCGATGTGTTTTAAGCTTCTAAATGCCAATTGAAGAAATAGATCATGTTTTTGTAAAAGTCATGATGGGTACCCAGTTTGTGCTTTGTTCGTCCAACACATAACCAACTTGATCCTCCACACTGCCACAGAGTGCGAGGCACATTCTTGGTGGGTGTGAATTCCCACTTAATACACTCACTCAGCCTCTCTCTCTCTAGTCTCATCAGTTTCCCCATCATTCCACAATGTAGCAAACCAGAGTACTAGGTGAATCTGAAAATGAAAGTAAATAACAATTGAACAATACTCTACCTAGATTTAATGTAACATACTGTAACAAGGTATATAATTAATGTAACATATTGTCACTAAGAATAGAATTAATGTAACATACTGTAACCATGAACAAAATTAATGTAACATATTGTAACAAAGAATATATGTAAAACACTGTAACCATAAATAGAATTAATGTAACATACCAGTACTATAACCATGAATAGAATTAATGTAACATACCAGTACTATAACCATGAATAGAATTAATGTAACATACCAGTACTATAACCATGAATAAAATTAATGTAACATACGAGTACTGTAACCATGAATAGAATTAATGTAACATACTGTAACCATGAACAAAATTAATGTAACATATTGTAACAAAGAATATATGTAAAACACTGTAACCATAAAGAGAATTAATGTAACATACTGTTACCATGAATAGAATAAATGTAACATACCAGTACTATAACCATGAATAAAATTAATGTAACATACGAGTACTGTAACCATGAATAGAATTAATGTAACATACTGTAACCATGAATAGAATTAATGTAACATACCAGTACTATAACCATGAATAAAATTAATGTAACATACGAGTACTGTAACCATGAATAGAATTAATGTAACATACTGTAACCATGAATAAAATTAATGTAACATACTGTATCAAAGAATATAATTAATGTAACATACCAGTACTGTAACCATGAATAAAATTAATGTAACATACCAGTACTGTAACCATAAACAGAATTAATGTAACATACTGTTACCATGAATAGAATTAATGTAACATACCAGTACTGTAACCATGAATGGAATTAATGTAACATACGAGTACTGTAACCATGAATAGAATTAATGTAACATAATGTAACCATGAATAGAATTAATGTAACATACTGTATCAAAGAATATAATTAATGTAACATACCAGTACTGTAACCATGAAAAGAATTAATGTAACATACTGTAACCATGAAAAGAATTAATGTAATATACTGTAGCAAAGAATAGAATTAATGTAACACACTGTAACCATGAATTAATTAACATACTGTAACCATGAATGGAATCAATGTAACATACTGCAACAATGAATATATGTAACATATTGAATGTAACACTGTTACCATGAATAGAATTAATGTAACATACTGTAACAATGAATATATGTAACATACTGTAACCATGAATAGATTTAATGTAACATACTGTAACAATGAATATATGTAACATACTGTAACCATGAGCAGATTTAATGTAACATACTGTAACAATGAACAGAATTAATGTAACATACTGTAACAAAGAATATCAAATCCAATTCAATTGAACAACTGATAAAGTAATGCATTCTTAATTCGCTAATATCCAACATGTTTAACACACTTTTAAACAGTTAAAATATTTACCTGGGAAGACACAATCTGAGTCATGTAGACATGACACAGCCCACTCACAGAAATCTGAGTCACTGTACCTATCAGAAATACAGAACAGTAACATTATTATCAAACGAGAACAATTAATTCGAAAAACATACTCTATGAGATCATGAAAAAAAAGAATGTTTAATATATTTGGAGGGGTAAAATATGTGTGAGGTTTATTTTGCAAATTTGTTCTTTCATAAACTCCTTCAATCAGACAGACAGCATGGACAGATAATTCATTTCAGTAATCAGGCCACCGGCCCATAATATATAATATAGCATGATAAATCATGCATGCTCAAGTAAAATACACCCATTATTTATATACATGACAAAAAGGTATAAGGTATTTCTTAAAATTTACCTCCATTCCAGTGGATCCCCATAAGTACACAAGAGTCAGACTCGGAAACTGTATTGAAACACCTCTTGTTTTAAGTCTTACCTGAATCTCATAGCACCTCTCCCATCAGAAAGTGTCTTCTTCTGGGACTCCAAAACCACTCCATAAGCTGAAACCATTTCCTCTAATTCGGTAGTGTTTCCATCTTTAGGGACACCTTCAATCTGTATTACATTTGCACCAACAATTGTCCAAGAATCTGTGTGTTGTAAAGGAGGTCCCTTCATATGTTTCACATCACAGGAGTCTGATACAACTGTTTTCTTTGAGTCTATCTTACCACCACTCATGTCTTTTACGTCTGCTTCCACTGGGAGAGGTTCCCTCAGGGGAGATAACTCTAACATAGGCTTCACAGTAACATTTTCTTTACCAGGAATTCCCTCTGCATCACAAATCACATACTTGTCTCTCATAGTACCATCAGAATTCAAATCTATATCCATATGCTGAGATTCTGTATCAACCATTCTGGTTTCGCTTCTGTTTTTATTTTCTGATTTTCGTTTCTTCTTTGACTTTTTGTCTTTCATTGGTTCGAAAATAATGTCTACATTTGTTACTTTCTTGCTTAGTCTTGGTGGTAAAGGTGAGAACGTCCTCACCGATGTAGCTGCATTGTTGGTATTAGTGTTCACATCATTTTGAGGTGCTCCTCCAAGTGTTGGGAAATCATTTTTAGATTTGACATCAAAAGATTTAGTATGTTTCGGAGGTGGTAGAAAAGGGCGACTCACCATCCCTCTCTGTGATGGCAGCAGGATTTCTTCCTGATTCTCTTCATCAGACATGTAACACTAGAAAATAGCACTGGTAATTTTATCATAATTATGACAATGAACAATTACACAATAGTACTATCAGGAGTTTAAGAATCATTCTGCCAGACACTTATGACAACAAAATGAAACGAGGGTATTGAATTTAACTCAATTTTCAAAACAAACAGGATAAAAAAATGTCCAAAGTTAATGTCTCAGTGTCAGTTCAAGTCATTGCTGTTCCTTGGCCTGGGCAGAAGCACTCAATGTGGTGGGAAGAGTAGGAGTATTTGAGAGACAAACATTATGTTTTCAGATTTTAAGAGTTCCTGAGTACATGGAGTATTCCATGTATGATATTTCATTTGAAACTGTCAGAGTTAGCCAGAGATTTCAAATGTTAAACTGTCCAGACATCAAATTAATATTTAATTACTTCCATAACAAAAATATTTAAACTCTTAACTTACGTCAGAATCATCAAAAAGAGTTGTTCCAAAATCTGTTGAGCCTGTAGGATGCTTAAAAGGATGCTGAAACGGTGATTCTTTAGGTGTTCCCATGGAAACATGCCTAGCTGTACTTGTAGGGAATTCTTTAACCTGTTCTGCTTGATTGGCTGCATGCTGGGACAGTATGCGAGCTCTCCCCCTCCCCATACGCTTCTTGGTTGGGAGTATGCTTCTCAATTCAACGCTAGGCTGGAGATAAATAGAACTATTAATAAAATAAAATATTAAACATCTCACTCCCAGCATAAAAAATATATTAAACATAAATTATACAAAAAGTTAATCATGTAAACATGATTTCATTACCTGCACTTGATCTGTGGTTGAAAAGTTTGACAGACAATATTAAGTGAAAAACTAGCCTTAAGCACATAAACACATTCAATGTCTTTATAGATGAAATACTGCTGATGTAACAGTAAATGTTACTCACTAACAAGTAAATAATACATGCTTACATAACCATGACAGACATAAATGTACACAAGCTGCTGACCATGATTATATGTTTCTGCAGCAAACACACCTAAGTTATTTTACCATGATGAAATGCATAATTTCTAAAATGTTATTTACACATGCTTGATGCAACAGATACGTGAAACAAGATTTTTGTTTGTTCTAAAAATACACATGCAGGATTTTACCTTGACTTACAATGATTAATTGTAAGGGAAAAAGTGGGTCCTTTAAAGTTATGAAATGGTTAGATAAATTAATTTATAGCCTGGAATGAACATGATGAATCAATGATGATATAGACAGTGGTCGTGATTGATAGATGAAATGACAGACACCCATAATTGCTCTTGATGCCTTGTAGGTACAATAAGTAATATTGTGCGTTGCTCAGGACACATTATATTTACTTCTGCATCCATTCTCCACATTTGTGCGTCACGTAAAACCCTGCACGTGTACGCAGTTCAGTTACACATGTTTTCCTTGTTATGTACAGGGTAAGACCCTAAATTTCCGCCTCCGTGGTCTAGTGGTAGAGCGTCCGCCCGGAGAGAAGAAGGTCCAGGGTTCGATCCCCGGCCACGTCATACCAAAAGACCTTAAAAGATGGTACTTGTTATTACCTTGTCTGGCGCTCAGCATTAAGGGGCTAAAACAAGGACTGGTCGGCTCGGAGTCAGTATACTGTGTCTGAGTGGGGTATTCATGTTAAACTGCGGCATGGTATCTCAGTGAGTTAGCACTATAAATCGGCATCAGTCCGGACTAGTACAAGCAGCCACACAAACTTACACACGTACATGCACGTCGCTTTATAAGTGCAATAATCTTGGACGTGACGTTAAACCCCATTTCACCTCACCAACCTAAATTTCCACATTTCCCCATTGTTTTAAAGTTACAAGAGCATTTTATCTTTATCCGGGCTAGTACTAATGTATATGGCTGCAATCATGGTAATGACAGTAGATATAAGTTTATCAATCCCATATTCAAATACCGGTATATACAATACTACAGCCATACAGACTCCTTAAACATGAAATTTACATCATTGTATGATCAGTGTCATCTTCCCGAAGCAAGTGAGTTAACTGACTATAAAAGTCCAGTTTCCACCCTTGCCGAACTAGGCTGGTATTATGGAGTTACATTTTGGCTGGACTAACGAGTCTATGCATAGTCCAATCGGAATCGTGCGCCGAAATCGAAATCTGGTTCGTAAAGTGTCATGCAGATTTCGGTCGACTGCGAGATTTGCAAAGCCTGTGCACCGCTAACCATGCTAACTCGTTGTCAACAGATATTTTCTATATCTTTTCATGTTTTTAATCAAGGTGCACACGTGATTTGATGCACTTCGCGATGTAAGACTCGTTTGATCACAATATAGATCTTGATTATCGATCAGATCGCTTTGATTGGGCACCACCGTTTTGTTTGAAGCAAATGCAAGTGATACGAGAGGTTGAATCTGATTGGTCAATAGGAGAGGCATAGAAAGGACATTACTCGTAATAGCCACTAGTGGTGCAACGATCGAGCCCAGGAATTCCAGCCTAGTTCGGCAAGGGTGGAAACTGGACTTTTAAAGTCAGTTAACTCTCTTGCCTCGGGAAGATGGATCAGTGTATAATGATATATATGAGAATTTCCAAAACCTTACAACATTTGGTATTATTTACTCTGGTAATTCCATGAAGTGAAGATCACCTTGACCACTGAGATATTTTGACTTTAGGGATTAATCAAGGTATTCTCGGTAACCAATATTCAGCCCGAATTAGAATAAATCAGTTCCTAGTTATCATGGCTGTTATCATAATTATAACTAATGTTAACACTTATAGCCTTAACATTATCATGATTATTACACTGAACATGTTAAATGCAATGGTAATTATGTCAAAGACAATATAATCCAGAACAAAATTATGCTTTTCCCATATTGGTCTGCCACTGGCACTTGGTTTAGAATCCAGAATATTTCTCTAACTGTAGACCTATTGCCAGATCGTAATGCTGACAAGAGTACAGAAGATGGTGAAATTGTATTCTACTTTAAATCAATTGATAACCATGTTATTTAACTTATTTTAAGGCAACACCCATAAACATGATCAGACTGAACAACTAACGTGAGTGCTAAAACTAAAAGTGCTTTCGTAAACAAGCGCTTGCTATAAAATGTGCCGCCGCAGGCAATATTCAGTGAACAAATATTCAAAACTCTCCACAGCGCTTGGCGTATTCAATGACATTTCATGTAGAGATGATAGATCACTGGGAGGAGCTTATGCACACTCGATGACCCCTGATGTCACAGGGCATTGTTTCGCAGGTGTGACTGGCAACAAAATACTACAAATTACGTCATAGGGTATTGTCACGTGTTTGAAAAAATTGTGGTACTGATTTCTAAAGGTAGGCCCAAATAACCATATATATAACATTCTAACCATGCCAAGTGAATTGTTTATTATATACTCAGGTAATGGTCCTACCAAAGCATTAGCAGCCACCAAAGTGATTCCACGAGGTAGTCTTGGTACACAAATCTCTGCCTTTGTCTTTCCTCTGCCATAACAATGTGTCAGGACAACAGTCTTCACTGCAGATCTGGTTTCAAAGTTGCTGAAGGGGGTGCATTCTTCAAAACTGTCGAGTTCCAGATGGTTTTGCAGACTTTCCAGACACAACATGTTGTCTGTGAAAAGAAATTTGACCATTTTCCTCATGAATTAGTTGAATTCATTATATCAAACAAGCATTCAACTGGCAGATAATAGATTATAGATCTTCTATCCGCACAGTAGACTTGCACAAATATATAAGGCAATTATCATTTAGTTAAAAATCATAATTTCTGGTTTATGTAAATAATAAGAACAATTTGTCTACATCAAATTTATACTGTCCGATTATCTAGACCTGCCTATTATAAGGATAGAATTACCACACAACCACGGACTTATCACGGTAAGTATAGCCTTGGAGCATGGCTAGTGTCACAGCATTGACCAATTTGTAAGTCGAGTTATATTTGTGGAAATGTTTAAAATAATAATTGAGCAGGTCTAGATCACAGGCCCCTGAAGCAGGATACTGATATTAATGAAACACCGAACCCATGTATCAAATGTTGTTGTCTATTTCGGCCTGTGATCTAAATATTAAAGGCAACCCCCGATACAATTTCATTGTCGTCAAACCAGACGAAGTCTAATTTGAACTTGTGTTGGTTATTCAAGCAACTTAACCATTGTCAACTCACATATCGTTTAGAACTTAAAGACGAACCGCATGTGCAACACTTGAATCGGCAAACTCAGGCGGGAAGAAGTTGAGCAGATACTAGTAATACATTTCTACAAGGCACACGAGCAGATGATGGCTTCTGTCAGTATAAAAATGAAACAAACTTAGTGGTTGGTTAGTTCAAGCCGACCAGCCAATGAAATAGCAGGTTACAAACTGAGTCAAGGGGAGTTACTCTAAACACCAATGTACATTTCGTTTGGCTGGGAGGACCGAAGATGGCAACTCAAATGACATTTCAAAGAAGAGGCAGCGCTAAACCCCCAGACAAGGGAAGTTTTCCTCTTGACCACGAAGGTATGCTACCGTCGATTATGAAATAAACTGCCCAATAAATTGTTAACATTGAACTGGCTGAATAGTAATTTACACCAGAGACCATATATAGCATATACGGGGATATTTAGATCCAAATCTAGTATCCTGTGTTGTTCAGAATGTATAGATAATTGAGAAGAAAATGAGATCTCTTTTCAAACCCACGAAAACCTCAATTCTAAGGGGCTACCATTATATCGATAGCCAGATAGTTGAGATAATGGATCGTTGACAACTATTAAGTAAAGAAATAAAGCAGCAATTGTAGGGTATGGATACAGTGCAAACTTAGTTCAGAATTATGGGATCCTAATTATCTGAAGTACCAGGTTAAAACTGTTCCCCAACAATCTATGCAAGTCGTGCGAGGTGAATGTAAAGAACCGTGCATAGAGATTCAGTTCATTTCATGTCATAGTACTCAGTCAGCTTGGATCATTGCTTATTATATCAATCATTGGTTTATCTGGTCAGGAATATTGTTCAGTATGGTGTTAAAAATAAAATAGGCATGTACATATCATGCATAACATCAGAATATATCTCAACATGGTGTGTGTCATTTTATCAACACAGTGTTTGTCATATTAATAGTGAGATGTACATATAAAGTTTCTAAATTGGATGCATTGTTTACTTTAAAACAATATTCATTTCTTATTTTGGGGGGAAAGATTATTTTTTTTGACAGTGTTCAATGCTGTCATACATCAAGCTGCATGGTGGGGGACGTAAGCATTTGATGATTGTTATAATCTAAAAATTAGCATACATGCCTTTGAAGTGGTGGACAAATGGTTTGTATATTGAGACCATCTCAGTGGTCTATTGGTAGCATCTGGAAGGTCTAGGGTTCGATCTCCGGCTGCATCATACTAAAAGACGTTAAAAATTGGTAAATGGTACTTGTTACCATGCCTAGAACTCAGCATTACAGGGCTAAAACAAGGATTGTTGGCTCGGAGTCAGTATACTGTGTCTGAGTGGGGTATTCATGTTAAACTGCGGCATGGTATGTCAGTGGGCCAGCACTATAAAATGTGCATTCGCCCAGACTAGTACAATCAGACACACACACAGACACACACACACACACACACACACACACACACACACACTTTGCTATATAAGTGCAATAATCTTGGACGCAATGTTAAAGCCCATTGCACCTCATCTTTGTGTATTGAATAAACTCTCGTACATGGATTCAGGTAGCATGTTCGATTTTGAATATTTTTTGTTTGACTTTGTCAGGTGAATGTAAAGACTTCATGTTCAAGTATATGAGATGCCTGAGAATAAACAAGCACGCAAATTCCAAATGTAGAGATGAATCAAAAGATTACCTACAGTGCCGAATGGACAGGTATGAGACTTATATTTATCTTGGCCAGACCAATTTATTCTTTTGTTATACAAATTAGTCTGCTCTAAAGTTTGCAAAGTTAACCTCCTAAAGATGGCTATTTTTGATGGAAAGTTAGCTTATTTGGATCTTCTTCTTGCTTATATTTATTTATCTTTGATTTCCAAGATATATTTTGGGGTTGTTTTTTTGTATGAAATTAACCTAAAATCAGAATAGCAACACTGGCAAATTATCACCTGGATTGGCTAATTACTGGCTTCTCCAGTCAAGACATTGTTAGAGTGAGCATCAGTAGCTGTTATTGAAAATGGAAGTGTTCGACCAATGGATGTCAACAACAGAGATTAACCTTGGTCGATCTTTTTATGGAGTAATAGTCCAGGAGTAATAAATGGGGTTCCAAGGCTGACGATATGTGGCAATTTAATGATTCCAACAGTGATGCCTTTTTGCTACCGTATATGACTGCGAATAAGCGGACCCCGTAGATATGCCGAGGTGTTAACTTGACCATCGAAATACGAATGAAAATTATATGACCCGCAGATTGGCGATTTCATCTGTAGATTATATATTATAGCTGTGGATTACATATATTGTTTCATGGAAAGATTGTGGAGTTTATGAAGAACGATAAACTTTGAACATTTAATTGAAAACTTATTATGGGAAGTAGTAACATGCATAACATTTTTTTAATAATGACAACATTGGTGTATAATAACTTTATTGATTATTTATAACAATAATGGCTCTAGTCGTGGCAACTTCCAAACTTTCGGGAAGTTGTAATCTATCGGACCGTCATTCAGGCGATGTTTCTGACAGATCACAATCTGAAAAATACTATCATGAAAGTGTATCCCGTGGATAAGCCGACCCCATTCTACAGAATCTTTTTTCTGGTCCTCAAAATTCGTCTTATTCGCGGTCATATACGGTACCCAGAGCACTTGCAGTGTTAATTATTTGTGCCATTCTCAATTTGTATGTGTGTAGGATGCAATATTTGCCATTATTTGGTGTCCAGGAAACCCTGCAACAGTCATAAGCAAAACAGTCACCTGCTGTCTCGTGATCCACTTTTTCAGGAACTTGATGACCAAGGAAAGTTGGGACAAGCTGGGATACACTACAGATTCACCGAAGGATACACTTTCATGACAGATGTGAAATTTGCACATAGACTTTATCAGATGGTGAAAATTCCTGAATATATTACGCGAGACATAAGATGCAACTAAACTCTTACATCAGATTCCAGTGTCAGAGACATATATCTGATACACAGTTTCCCACATGTTGGAGAGGGATTAGAATTGTTTGGGAGTCCGGAGGACTTAGTACCAAGTTTGGGGGCCCTAGCTCTGATTACCAACGACAAATATGATGTTTTAATAGAAACTGGGTGATTAAGAAAAAATCTAACATGAACTGTCCAAAATTTGATTGTACATGTGTATTTCGTAAATCATGTTAAATTTCTTAAGTGTATGCTACAATGGAATTAATTGCAAAGATTCAAATAGACATACAGTTTTATTGCCATAGGACTAGCAGTGCATATTGAGTCAGGGTGGCCTCTTCTTATTTTGGCTTTTGAGGGGACAGTTTCTGTAACTCTAGGTTGAAATTCAATTTGAGCATTTCAGACCTGTATGCATTCTCCATTCTCAATGTTTATGCACATAAACCAAGGATGTAATAGAATAATTTTGAGAGCAGAAAAGGTATTTGTTGAAGATGTCTCATGGTTTGCTGTGGGGTTATGTAGAGGGGAATGTTTGAGTAACTCTCCATTTCTTAAAATTAATGTAGCCAAGGCCCATTATTTTAAAGGAATGGAGAGTTAAGAGGATATTCCCCTACTTTACACTTTGACAAGACATTCTCTTGTGCAAAATATATGAAAAATAAACCAGAACTCTTTGTAGATTGTATTTATACTGTGCCTGTCGCCCTTGCATGATGAACAAGGAATACATTTTCTGCCACTGTTGCGCATGCGATGCACCAAGCTCCATTGGAGCTGATATTTACAATGCATGGTATACAGCTCTTCATAATTTCGTAGGGTCCTGTACTGGTATTGTATCAATCACTTGCACGTTGTAAATACATGCTGACTGGAATTTTATCAATTGTAGATCCCTGAACAAGGATATATATGTTCATCTGAATATTTTTCCCGCCAGAGGTTTATGGAATTGCTCTATTAAATATGAACATTGTTATAAGCACAAGTGTATGTACATATTTGTTTTAGCGTTTAGGAAGTATGCAAATTTTTGAAAATATATAATAGTTAATTTCACACCATACTGTCATGTGTCGCCGTAGCTGAGGTCAACAATTAGACGTCCTCATGTCAAACGACACATATTTTCCAACAAAATTTGAATTCATTCACTTGTATATTTATATAAAAATAGTTCCGTCTATTCCAAGTGTACGTTTTTTGAAATATTGGGTCAAGATAATGTATAATTGACAAACAATTATTTCAATTGTTTCCATTCCTGAAACCTAATGGAGTGTTTAAACAATAGAATGATGTCACAGATGTGTTTTAAGTTTGGGATACTCAAAGGAATTGATAACTATCCTTCCTTAATTTGGGTATAGCGGTAATATAATATCAAAATGTTTGAAGAACAGCAAATAGAGACAAATCTAGTGATGAGGTATTCATGCACTCACTTATTTAAGAATTTGTTTGCTTGTTAGATGAAATGTTTGTTATTCATTAACTTACATTGACAACGTTGTATTGGTTTTAGTAAACTGTCAATTCAAATGGAAAGGCAATGGAAGATTTGAATATAATACACCACACCAAAAAGATCATGTAGCCACTGGAACATTTTGTTTGTAAATTCAGAGGTATTCCATAAGCTTTCTTCTTTATTATGACAACAAACTGAAGTATGCTTTTTTTTTTAAAAAAACCATTTAGGGGCCACTCTGATATGACTTGGAAATAGAGTGAAATTATCTAAATACTGAATGAAGTTTTCACAATCTAAAATAATAATATGTTTATCAAGTGAAGTCGTTTAGTTTTTAGTTTTTAGTTTTTATATCTATAAAAATTAATACATTATTATTGTACAGCCTTTCTTTTGAAGAATATATCAGTTCAAGATATCAAATATTGAAGTTGGTCTTTATGAAAATATAAGAGCAAATTATCCATTCATCCATTGAAGGTGAGCTTCTGTACCTGTGCTCTGGTTGATGTATGGATCCTTTCAGGTCCATCGATCCCAATTGCGTGGATCGATGCTCACAATATCAATCACTGGATTGTCTGGTCCAGACTCCATTATTTACATACCGCCTTCATATAGCTGAGTGCGGCGTAAAACAACAAACCAAACCAAAACCTTTCAGGTCAGTTGAATGGATCAAGAAGTCTCAGCTCTTTAATTTTAATGTGATCTGAAAAGTGTGCAAACATAAACCTTGCTGTGTGTGACATGTAACAATCGTGAGCCCTACAGCACAGACTATGTAATATGCATCAGCAAAAGTGTTCTTGATCTTTATTAGACCTTTTATGAATTGGTAGACACATACTGACAATTAGTCTTGCTTGTTTTTATCTTTCATGGATTGGTTCTAATGTTAATGTCACTCACTGGGCATGTGTGCTGTAATCTATATATGCTGTTTGACTAGTCAGCATGTTCAGATGAAATGCAAAGTGTATTTTCTCATATGAATAATAAATTTCATCAGAAGTATACAATATGGAGCTGATTTTGTCAAACTAATGTCTGTAATGTAAAACAATCATAAAACTACAGGGAACATGCATACATGTTTACTTGCAATCTAAGACCACAGCATGGAGTTGGTCAGACAGTAATGGCAGCCATGAAGTATAAGGATGTACAACAGCGGAGAAGCAACAAATGATGTGATGCATAGTCTTCCCATCCTGTGGAGCAAGTGGTGGATAGTCTGGATCACAATAGTAACCCATGTGGATTGTGAAAGCTAGCTAAAATGAGTATTCAATGGTCACACTCGTACATCACGATCATGGATCATTACTCATGCTATTCAGTATTGACCACCAGTCAGCTTTGCCAAGACATAATTATTTACTGACCACCATAGCTTCATTTAGTTGTGTAAAATGACATTCACTCACTCAAAGGGATCACCAGTTGATGGTGGATGGGTTGAGCACATTTTAAAGTTTGGCTTTACTGATCAATTCATTGACAACAAGGATCACAAACAAAGCAGTTACTCCCAAGATGTGGAACAGATGGTGATTACACTATTTACTTGTGATCATCAGATAATTATTATACGCTTCGAGGTATTGTATTTAATAATTAAATACAATAAATTAAATTTTAATTCATTAATACATTAATGCCAACGGTATTTCATATTCTTCAACGGTATTTCACCATAAAAGGTAATCTGATACATTAGTACCAACCATTTTCTTCACATACTGGACCTGTGAAGATCAGGGGTAGAATAGGTCTTCAGCAACCCATTCTTGCCGTAAAAAGAGACTATGCTTGTCGTAAGAGGCGACTAACGGGATCGGGTGGTCAGGCTCGCTGACTTGGTTGAAGCATGTCATCTATCCCAATTGCATGGATCAATGCTCATTTTATCAATCACTGGATTGTCTGGCCCCAACTCGATTATTTACAGACTGCGTCATATAGCTGGAATATTGCTGAGTGCAGCGTAAAACAACAAACCAACCAACCAAGTTCACATACTGTCTGTACTTATAAGCCTGGCTTTAGGTTCAAATGCTGCTTAAAGTGTGGCACAGCAGATGGAGGGTTTGTTTGATCTTGATGAAGAGATGTATTCAAAGTAGAGTGAAAGATCTGAGTGTCTCAATACTGAGTTTGATGCATATTTGTTCCCAAACACTCATTTAATTCACTGACATACTGCAGCCAGTTCCCCAAACTAAGGAGAAGGTGTTGTTTGTTTGCAATATTCCAGCCATATGACAGCGGTCTAAATAATCAAAACTGGACCAGACAATCCAGTGACTGACATCATGCGCATAGATTTACGCAATTGGGATATGATGACATGGATCAACCAAGTCAGCGAGTCTGACCACTCGATCCTGTGAGGAGCCTCTTACGGCAAGTGTGGGTTGCTGAAGACAAATTCTAACCTGGAATCTTCACGCTACTGTGGAGAAGGTATATGTTTGTAACTTCAATATGTGCCTTGTCTGGAAGTCGCATCATCTAAATTAAAACCAGAGTAGTCTCGAAAATAAAGTTACTTCAATTTGAGAGTTAGTGGAAAATTGATTCACAACTCTGATAAAGCCTCCTTTTAATGAGCATGAAAGCACACTGTCCTTTCTTCTGTTACACAATTGACACCACATTGGATATATTATTTTTGTCAAATCCATTGCAGGATAGACCAGCTACTACACATGCAGTAAGAGTGATCTCTTTCATTGATCTAAACACAGTCTGCTGGTCAATGAACAGTTTCTCATGCATCACTCAGGGTGCACACTATACATACTCAAGTTTCAATGCATGAAACTGAACAGATACACATGATAGGCTGTCATGTAAAGTGTCTGAAAGTAAGGGAGGGTGAGCATACACACAGCACACGCCCACCTCCCCTCTTGATCTGCCAGAGGCGGTGTTTACACCAACATCTCTCACAAAGGTGTTCACATAATTCCATCACAACCAGCGTCTTCTAGCGCTGCCTCCAGCCATTCTAGGGATGTCACAATACAGGTGTCACACGATACGATACATATTTCATACAGAAGCCCCAATATGATACGTATCTTGATACTGCAAATACATTTTGTGCGAAATATTCCAGCAATTTTGAGTCCACAGACTCACACATAATGATAAAGGTAAAAGAGGACAACTGACTTATACCCATCAACATGTCAACTATTCTGTGTGAGAAAATAAAAAGAAACTAACAAGTTTACATACTGTAGTATGACAGGCAACAAGGATTGTTATGGGCCTGTTTCGTATCCGAAAGACGACTAAGAAAGTTTTGAGGAATTATAAAATACTTTGTCGATATGGGGTTAAATGTGGATTGATGCCAAATTATGTGTATCGGGTTTCGTATCGTGCAAAGTTTGCCGACGATGCACCAGTGAATTGCGACATCGCTAAGGCATTCACAAAATTCTACACACATACACCAGGAACAGCACATCAAGATGGTGATCACAATGGCAGTTTATGACTCCTCAGTACTATCAGCTTGTAGAAAGCCACTCCCAGCAGCAGTGAGTTGGCATACTTCTCCTTCTGTACATTGTTGAGATTCTTAAATGTGTCCCAGCGAGCATGTGGGATGTCCACATCCATCGCAACATCCGACTGCATTCTCTGAATGTCCTGCAGAACGTGCTGACCGCTTACCCTCTCCCCACCCACTGACAGACTGAAGAACTGGCTGACCAGGGTTGGAGCTACCATGTATATCTTGTGGTCCCCACTTGATTCAAAGTCTCTGTTTAGGAGAGTGAAGAGCATTGCATCTAAAATCTTCATGTTGAAAAGGAAAGGCACCATGCGGGGATTGATGTTACGGAAAACCTTTCTTTCCATCACATATATGTCTGCTTCCGGAAGTTTGTCTTTTACTAAGAGCAACTGAAAATACAGTCGGGTGAATAATATTAGTTTAAAGCATGTTTTTCTTTATGTCTTGTTTCACAAATCCGAAAACGTAAACATGTTGAAATGTATTACATTGATTTCCATTTCTCATTTGAGCACTGAACCGGTGGTTTTTGAAAGTACAAGAACCAAGGCCCTATTTTTAACTGTAGAACAAAAGGTATGAACAGCATTAAAATCACTAAACAATGAAAAACCCTTTGAAAGTTTGGTCACTTTAGCTGTAAAATGTGGCGTAAAGCAACATTTACTCATTACAGTGCATGCACACAAATAATTTAAGTGCTGGATATTCTAAGTGTTTTACCCTGTTCATATCTTAATAAATCTTAGCAAAGGCTCCACATACAACCAAAAAGTATTTGTCCTGATCAATGACATTCAATAGGTGATATTGTGTTGAGTTTTCATATTGATAGGTGTACATCTGTAAATCACCTTGGTGACAGAAACTTTCTTAATCCTCACCTTCTCCAAGAACTGATGGAGATCAAGTTTCAGATATACTTTATCGAAGAGGCTGATGTGATCCCAGCCTTCCACACGCAAGTTGCGATCTATCTTGGTCCATGTGATGCCATCGAGTTGAGCATCCAGTGTCACGAGAGTCCTCACATTCTACAATCATAGCATGCCAGCTACAGTCAAGGGGATCACTGAGGCACCAAGAACATATGTCTGGTCTCCTCACAAACCCTAACCTGGAGACCCTGACCCAATCTCATTAAAATCAGACCTCAGTTCTCGCTACCGCTAAACAAGGATCCTTTGTTTAGCGGTAGCGAGAACTAAAATCTAATTTTAATGAGATTGACCCTGACCCAAAATGCCTTTTCTTGTTTTTCTAAAGTTCACCATAGCTTTTATCACCATCCATACTTTTTATGCCATTTTTAAATGTATATTTGTTGCACTTAACTGTTGTTAAACCAGTCATTTACAGAAAAACAAACCAACTTGCCTTCCCCATTTTGAGATGGGCTTAAATCTGGAAATCGGAAACACTAATATTTTGGGGGACAACAGACAGATCCAAACATCCATTAAAAGTGCTTCCTTCCTAATCACACTGATCCTGTCTATGAACAAATTGTATTGATTCGATTATTACCCTGAAACTATAATTTCGGTAAATTGTTTATTTTCTATTTGAACCATCCTTTCATCATCTTAACTCCAAAAATCAAGATCTACTTATCTAAAATGCCCCAGTGAATTTAACAAGTTTCACTGTATCAACAAAACAAACATAAAACACAAACCTGGCAAGTCCTTTCCGATATATTTGGCTCTGCTTTTACTCTATCAAAATCTGCCTTAGATGTCTTTTCTTGAAGTGTCTCATAATCCAAAGTACGGAGAACATTACAAATCTTTTGGATTCCTAAAATGCCGACTCCGGGTACAAGTAAAATATCAGATAATGTCTGGAAGTTGCCGTTGTCCTTCCTGTGCTTGACAATGGAGGAAGCTTTGTGATGGTTCAGCTGCCTTGTATGCTGCAACTCATACTCGTTACAGCGGTTGAATGTGTCAAGGATCTTCTCTTTCTCAGCATCAGAGTACAGGGAATCAAGAATACTGGCATCTTTGTGGAATGTCTTCTGAGCAAAACATCTACGGAGAACCTGGAACAGGTGTCATTAGGTATGAGAGAGAATGTTATTTTAGGTGAATCAACATTGTGAGCCCTATTCAAACTGCATATTACAGCCTGTAAATAATCAAGTTTTGGCCAGGTAAACCAATGGTTGATAGTATGAGTAGCATTTCATACCATCAAGTAACAATGTTTCACTATTAACAAGGACACATATTGCAACCACCCAATCCTCACAGGGCGCGGTGCAATCATCCTGGAGACATACTGTGTCTAGGTCACGTATGAAGTTTAAAGAGGGACTGAATAAAACAATATATTTCTGTAAAGCTCATTGATCTACCAGAGATGTACATGATATACAGACCCCCCTTCCAGAAGTTATATCTCCTTTGTATAGCCGCTCAAAGATCTAGTGGATATCGACACAGGCCTGACATTATGCTATTTCCGAATAGCCTACTGTCATTCACTTCAGTACTCTGGTGATTCTACCTACACTCACGTTTGAAGAAAAGGGGCTATTTCTTCCAACAACCGGTAATCGTAACATCGAGCAAATGCACTGCATTGCCGCATAAAACTTGACACTTGTTAACATGTGATGCCTATTTACGGAAGTGAATTAAAATGGCCCTCTGTAACAGAAGAGTAAAACTGATTATCTCCCTTTGGTTAAATGCTGCAAAGGGAAGTTTTATACTTATTATGTCTTAGTAATGGTAGTCTAAATGCAGGATGTTACAAGAGCTTCAGTTAACTCTATACTTTATGCCCGGAGTGAAATTATTTCTTGCTTGTTCGTGGTCTATCGCTTATAGATCTAATTCTTCCGAGAAACAAAGTAGGACTGAAAACAGGACAAGTGTGTGGGTCAACGTTAAACATGATACATCTTAAATGTTAACACAAGCTACCGGAAACATATTTGTCAATAAACAAAATAATGATCACAAAATATCGATTTTGGTGTAACGTGAAATGCATGTCAATCCACACCCAATGCACATTCAGCCCAAGATCGTTTACTCTGCACATTTGGAACATCTACTTGTAACGTTAACGGCTAGTGGGTGACTGGCCATTTTGTAGGCACACAGGAATCCCACTGGAATGACGAATGGCACCAAAGGGGGTTCTTTCACAGCCTACTTTGAGGCAAAAGGATGGACCCCATGTAGGGTATGCATCAGTTCATCATTTATTATAATAAGATGTGTCACCCCTAGACTTGTCCTCTTTTTTTCGGGAAAACCTGCTCACATCCCTGGTACTAGTAAAAGTCAGAGAATATTATAATCGGACAATGTATGTTCTTAACATAACATACACATGTAAAATCAACATACTTATGTCGTGTTATCCATTACCTCGTACCGCCTGTAGTTTCAATCTTCTGCTGATCCCCGTTTCGCGTATCTTACACTTACATATATGTCTTCAAAAGTATTCATGTGTCAATCAATAATACAATCAAAATACAAACAGTTCCTTATGAAGCAATTAGTATGTCATGTATTGTCTGTTGATTGATTCTCGATATGGATATTAAAAGATAACAAAATAATATGATATATAAAATTTCTGATCTAGCTATATGTTGTTGTCAACTAAAGAAGATCTTCAACACCTTCTCTTGCATATTGTTTGGAAATGTCTCGCCTGATGAACACGTTCAGTATCGTATTCAATTCCACACAGTACTGTACACAACATCTGTCTATTTTGCATGTATGCGAAGGTTACATGGACTATTTAAAAACAATTAGCGTCAGGCATGAACGTATAAGAATAACTGTAAATATCAACTTTTGTTTGACATTTTTTAGTATACCAAGGTCCGTATAGTACTGTTTGTAAAGAGTAACCATGTACATTTCATCTCGAAGAATATCGTAATTTGTACACACAACAAATAAATGTAAAACATCTTCGGTATGATTTCCACAGGAACAACTTTCAGTATATTTTATACTGATCTGTGTTGAGATCGCTGTAGCCAAGCCTGAGGCAACTGTGAATAATTTGACATATACCGTATTCGACGTAACAAGCGCCCCGCTCTAATAAGCGCCCACGGCGAGATTTGCTAATATATTGGCTAGTGAACAATCCCAATTAGCACCTCTTCCGAACCCTATTCCCTTAAAGTACATACCCCTTCCTTCTCCTATTCGCGTATAATACGCACTCGTGTGTTATATGCAACCTTTATTATTGGCAATGAAATTCTGGAAAAATATATCTGTCGTACATAAACATTTCAGGCGGTCAACATAAACCACGGAATTTATCTTTCAACTCTGTGTTTTTCACCAAAAGAATATATCTAATGAGAGCCCCCGATTTCTAATTTTGAGAGCGCCCTGGGCGCTTATTACCTCGAAACGGTAACCTTAAATTTTATAACGGTTTCTGTTGTCTCTTTTGTAATTTCTGATAGCATATTCTAGCTGGTATAAATGAAACTGCTTATACTTTTGTTTTACACTTCACTGTCTTTATTCCTTAAGGGGGCGGTGGGGGAAGCCTAGCGTTCTCTTATTACCCCGAAGGCCCGGCCGGGTTCGATTCCCAACATGGTTACAATGTGCGAAGCCCATTTCTGATGTCCCCCGCGGTGATATTCCTGGCATATTGCTTAAAGTGTCGTAAAGCCATATTTACTCTCTCACTTATTCCTTAAGTAATAATTTGGGCTTTCCGAAACTGTATTAGGAATAAGCCTACAAAGATATTCAGGTGCGAGATGTTTATTCATTTTGTAAAACGTTACCAATTCAATTGTCACAACATCTTTCATTTTTGTATTGCATTTATCATATTTCACTTATGACAATATAACATTATTATCACATACATGATATCACGTCTTAAGTAGACTTATGTTCATTTACGTCATTTTGACATAAAGGGGGCACGGATGACCCAGTCGTCTAAGGTGCCGCGATTTGCTGTGCAGAGTTGCGTCCCTTGGACACGCCAGAAACCTATGATTGTGGGTTCGAATCCCGGTTCGCCCCGATTATGTTTCTAGGTTTGTCAGCACCATACCAGTGCTCGTGGGTTTCACTGAAGTGGTACACGTCTGGGACCTGCATCACTTCGGGCTTTCCTCCCACATTAAGCTGACACGCCGTGATATAACTGGAATACTGTTAACCCAAACTCACTCACTCATACAAATGCATGTAATTTAACACTTCATAATACTACCAGATATTATGAATTGAAACGTACATGCTCAACTTAGACATACGGTTGTTGAAAGCAGGTATTGCGTTACTTTTGAGTGTCAGTATATTCAGTTTATTTCAGTGTGTACCAGATAAACACTCAGTCCTGCGCCCCTCATTGTTTACTCTCCCTGTGGTGTTTTATTGCATGATAAACAACTCCCACTCGTCGTTTATTTACGTTTAGTAACGCACCTTCTCCCATTCCTGTGTCGGAAAAATAATCGCAGTAACTGACTAGGACGCCAAGTGCATCAGCAACCATCAACACCACACGAATGTGTGTGCTCATTGGTATCCTCCCAAAACGTAGACCTGCCAAAACGCAGACCCGTTAAAACAACACTCGTGATGGCTGGTTGCATCAGTATTTAGTACCCTGTACCCTTAAGTAAAATGGTATCACCCATGTAACAAGAAAGAAACCTGGGTAGAGGGTTATATCCCATTAGTTAGACGTCCCATTAGTTAGACGTCCCAATTGTTAGACAATTTTACTTAGGCAAAAAAGGGATTATACCTACAGGTGTAATGGATCAGTCCTAATTAGATTAAAGTACTGAGTAGGGATAGGGGACTCACAGTTTAGGGAGTATACAATTTCGTTTAATTAATCTAAAATACCTTACTCTCAGCACAGGTTCAATAGGCATGAGATGTAAACTATGGAGTAGCTTAATTGTCTTACTGTATGATCAGTTGAAGGAGTTGAGTTTAGATTATCTACTCATCAAACAATAAAATTGATCTTGGGGTACGTATCATTATCAGTATCGATATGGCTGGTTTAAGGTTTCAGGAAATAGAGTACATCACCTCTCGGCGTGGAAGTAAGCAGTTGATATTAGATGGATATATTTACAACAGAAACCGCGAGAGGCAAACATGCACACATTGGAGATGTGTCGTCAAGACGTGCAATGGGAAATGTACGACTGTCGGTGACTTTCTTCGCAATCAGTCGGAACATAACCATCCACCTGAAGATGAAACCAGAGTGACCTTTGTCAGCAATCTTCGTAAAAGAGCGCGAGAAGAAACCACACAGATGCAGGCATTGTACGAGCAGCAAGTCACTCAAGTAGATGAAATGTTAAATATAATATTAAAGTATCTATTTAAAACTGCTTTGCTTTGTTTGTCATATCTTATCTGGACTATTCCATTTTAAAGTCTGAGGTAACAAGCATAAGGATTAGTGTGCACTCAACCGTTTAAAGTGTTGTTATAAGCTGTCTAACTATTGGGACGTCTAACTAATGGGAGGACACCGGGTAGAGTTCACAATTGTTTATTCAAATGTTATTTCATGTTATTTCATTGTCATTCTAGGTTGTTGTTTGTACGGGGCCCTTGTGTCGCATGGTATATCCACAGTCGAGACGCTCATTCAAGGGTGAAGGGTGTGGTCTACGTGTTTTCTTATTATGTCCCCCTCAAAGGATTGTGATTGTTACCTGGATTGCTTTTTGGATTCAATATAATAGGAAGCAGGATATGTGGTTGCCACCGACCCACTTACACTGCAGTGGACGGAGTTGTGGACTGACTTTCAGCGATTGCGCCGTCGTTGTGTCGGTCACGGACTGTAAACACAGTATTCTAGTTATCAGCTGGGTATATGATAGTGCCGTCAGAACATTCAGTGTATTAGTTCGACAGTTCGGTCTCATGATGGGTAGTTCCTGTATTGGGCGTCAACTGTGAGTACATGTGTATTTTAAATATATCTGGGGCTTCCGTGTCTGCAACAAACACGTGCAACTTCAGCTATATGTAATCATTTGCTATGTGTTGAGAGATTTGTCAAGGAATTCTAGGTATTCAAACACGCCGTGGGGTAGAAAATGGGTTAGCGTACCGGAAGACATGGGGGGTGGGGGGTGGGGGTAAATTTGAATCATAGCATGGATGTAAGTGTACGACATGACATGGGGTAAATGACGGGGTTTTATACCGGTAAGAGTCAGGGAGTCGTGATTTAACCGACGCTTTGAACAGTATTTCAGTTTTATCACAGCGCGCCAGCTTGATGTGGGAGGGAAGCCCGAATTTATACAGACCCTGCACGTTTACCACTTCGTTGACACGCACAAAAATGTGGGTCGACAAGGCCACCCCGTATACCCGATTGTAATGGTGAGGTGAGATGGGGTTTAACGTCGCGTTCAAGAATGTTGCACTTATATAGCGACGTGTATGTACGTGTGAGTATATGTGGCTGCTTGGACTAGTCCAGACTGATGTCGATTTATAGTGCTAGCCCACTGAGATACCATGCCGCAGTTTAACATGAATACCCCCCTCAGACTAAGTACCCTGACTCCGATCCGACCAATCCTTGTTTTAGCCCCTAATGCCGAGCGCTAGGCATGGTAACAACAAGTATCAACCTTTAACGTATTTTGGTATGAAGCAACCGGGAATCGAACTCTCGACCTTCTGGTCTCTTGGCGGACGCTCTACCACTAGACCACGGAGGCGGTCTGATTTAAATGACAGATAGGGCTGGGAAAGAAAGTTTTTAACGTGGCGTTGACGATGATTTCACCCATGTACTGACGTGTACACACGCGTCTGTGTGGCTTCTTGTCCGGATTTATGCCGTTTTTTATAGTGATAGCCCACTGAGATACCCTACTGATAACATGGATACCCCACTCAGGCATATATACTGACCCCGAGCGGAACAGTCGTTGTATTATGCAGGGTAACAAGTAACGTCTTTTAACGTATGATGGTATCAGGCGATCAGGGGATCGAACAACCAAGCTTCCGCTCTCTGAGTTAGCAGGCTATCCACTTCATCACGGGCCATACTGGTCCATACTTGTAATGGGACACGTGAAGATCTGGGGTAGAAAATGTTTAGCAACCCATGCTTACCGTAAAAAGCGACTATGATTGTCATAAGAGGCGACTAATGGGATCAAGTGGCCAGGCTCGCTGCCTAGGTTGATGTATGTCATCGTATCCCAATTGCGTGAATCGATGCTCATAATGTCAATCACTTAATTGTCTGGGCCAGACTCGATTATTTACAGACCGCCGTCATATAGCTGGAATATTGCTGAGTGCGGCGTTAAACAACAAACAAAGCAAACAATACTGGTAATGGATGTTCCCCCTGTCATTACATACGATCGTATCTAACATGTCTGTTGGTATATCAATCCATGTTTTGTTTACCCATTCGCAGGTCATGTTTGTTGGTAGCAGCCTTTATCCTGCTGCTGGTGTATTCGGCTCCTATATATCACCTCATCAAAGTATATTTTCTCAAACAGCGTAGTCTGGTCCCTGTACAATATACGGGAGTGATGGGAAGGACGATTTTCCGTAATGAGACACGCAATAAGAAGGACCAAGTATCAATGCATAATCTCAAGACAGTTCAGTTTGATTTGACAAAACCTGACACACGTGAACACGAAACGTCGTCCATAAGGCCTAACATTGGAAAGAAGGGACATCCACACAAATTGCTAGTCTGGCATATGATTCCAAGTCGTCATAAGCATTACAATGCCCATCATGTGAAGTGCAAGCATTACACGTGCATATTCTCTTCCAATACTTCGTATATACCGGAAGCAGATGCCGTCATTGTTGATGTGTTCTTGCTGTCAAGACACCGAAGCAAAGAAGTACCACTAAGATCTAGTCCAGACCAGGTGTGGATACTCTTTGCTCAAGAACCATGGGCTAACTACAGATCTCTTTTTCCTGCACAAAATTGGAATGGTATTTTTAACTGGACACTCACATATCAGCGTCATTCTGATTTCTGGGTACCCTACGGCGTTCTGAGGTACCAACGGAGTCAGAAACAACCGGACTGGAATAAGCTCATGAAACTGAAGACAAAGAAGGTCCTGTGGCTCGTAGGTAATTGTAAAGCACGGAGTAAAAGAGAAGAATACGTTGAAGAGTTGAAGAAGTATATCCCTGTCGATATTGTCGGACGTTGTGGGAGGTCCAACGTAAACTGTACTTCCGGAAATATAACGGATGAAGATAAATGTTTGGAACAGTATAAGTTTTATCTGTCTTTTGAAAGTACTCTTTGTAAAGATTATGTGACAGAAAAGTTTTTCAAGACATTTCAAAGGGATCGTCATATCATTCCTATAGTTCGTGGCAATGGTGATTATGCAAAACATTATCCTAAAGACACGTACCTGAACACAGCTGACTTCCGGTCCCCTAAAGATCTGGCTGCGCATCTTTTATATCTGGATAAGAACTCCACTGCCTACCTTGACCTTCTCAAAACACATGCGCTGTATAGACATCACAGTGCGGGAAGAAAGATATGCGAGATGTGTATAAGTCTCAACACCCTAGACCAACATAGAAAGTCGTACCCCGATATCTCGGGGTGGATGGACAGATGTGACAACGTGACAGATCTACATTGGTAAAACTATATACGTCAACAGTTGACTGGGTCAGTGAGAGGAGCCGACGCCGATGTATATTTAACAGGATATTTGAATAGAAAACATGTCTACCTACAAAACGAAATAATTTGAGAGGCACTGACGAACATCGTTCCATTGATATTCACATGAAGCTCCATACTAAAAGTTTTTTTTGTTTTTTTAGTGTGTGTGCTGTTTTTGTTATTTTGTTGATGGTGGTGGTGTTTTACGCCGCACTCAGCAATATTCCAGCTTTATGACGGCGTCTTGTAAATACTCGAGTATGGACCAGGGCCTTGTCCCGCAAACTTCGACTCTGTTAATGTATGGGAATAACGGTCATCTTATGCGATTAGAAATTAAAATACTGGGTATCCAGAATATCACCGACGTTAGGGGTCCAATGTGGCTCCTAAATGTTGAAACCTCTACCAGCGCTTAAGGTGCAAATATTGGTGCAAATTGGCCATATAGAAACGTGCTACAACACCTGTTAAAGCAAATCAGGTAAGGGAGATCAATTAGTGTTTCAATTTATTTTTCCATAGGTTAAATAACGAGGAGGCTTAAAAACGTGCAGTCCCAGTCGTTACAGAATTACAATATAGCAGGTATTTACTGAAGCTCCAGTAAAATGATCACTTTTTTAAAATAGTCTTCTTGAGACAAACGGTAGTATAATAATATCCTGTATGAGGTAAGAAAGTTGCTGACTACTTGATAAAAAAAGAAATTGGCATTTAATATAGAAACCTAGAATAGAGAAATCAATAGGTTGCATTTTATGCGTTTTATTTCGGGTACTGCACCATGTTATCCTTGATATATCTTGGTTGAACCCACTCAAGCCGGGTTGCCAGAAATGTGGTAACCTCGGTTGATTCAGCCACTCCAATTTTAATAATCGAACGCACTTTTTACTGTTTCTGTATGACACTTACAGACAATGACACCGATGAAAACGTTGCATTTTCGCTCAGTGGCCCGACACATTTGTCCATATCAATATGAGCCTGTGGTTAGTCAAGATAGTCTTGACAGCAGCGAGGTAGATCTATTGCGTGAAGTCGATCGATGGGATGTCAACACTGAAACGCTACTGAACACAAACTGGAAAGTTTTCAAATTTGCAACGTGTAACATTCATTTAGATGTTGAGCAGAAAACCCCATTTGTGTGATCTAATGTATAACCGGGGAGGGAAACACATTTTCTCAATATGAGTATATACACTTCCTCATCCTTCCTATCACTGTTTCATAGTATTTCATGATGATGTGAAAATACTAAGGAATAGTAAATCTATTATTCAAAAAATCAAACGTATTAAGCGCTATCCTCACTTTTCTGAATAAAATGAATGTTAATCGATTATTTATGTTTGTTGTCATGTAAAATGTGCCAGGTGTATATGACGCATTGTTGTCATGTAAAATGTGCCAGGTGTATATGACGCATTGTTGTCATGTAAAATGTGCCAGGTGTATATGACGCATTGTTGTCATGTAAAATGTGCCAGGTGTATATGACGCATTGTTGTCATGTAAAATATGCCAGGTGTACATGACGCATTGTTGTCATGTAAAATGTGCCAGGTGTATATGACGCATTGTTGTCATGTAAAATGTGCCAGGTGTATATGACGCATTGTTGTCATGTAAAATGTGCCAGGTGTATATGACGCATTGTTGTCATGTAAAATGTGCCAGGTGTATATGACGCATTGTTGTCATGTAAAATGTGCCAGGTGTAGATGACGCTTACCATTGTCAAAGCATTGTTCATTGTGTTGTCTTTATGCCAAACATTTAGCCTAGGGCTTAAGCTAAAAAAAATTTCTATAGAAATGAATGTTTGTGTTGTGTTTATTGTCTAGTGATTGTGGTCAGTTAATACTGCCGTTTAAAAAGTTGTAATAATATGTACTTCATTCATCAACAGAGAGATGTTAGTGGCTAGTCTTGTTAAAAAACATCCACCATTATACATGGTCTACCATATATGAGAGAGATATATATACAAACGAAGAATAAAATAAACATAGACAATTTATTTAACAACAAATAAATGAAATAAAACTGACAATAATACATTCAAATATTCCTGTCACATAATTTCTAAAAATATGTATCCCACATTAACTTAACGCCAGCTTTTTGTCACACAACCGGTTTGAAAAAAAAAACATGGGTCCGCCTCTGACTGATAATCGGTAATAAACATACATACAGTAAACTACGGTTATAACGAACTCGAAGGGACCACTTATTTTAGTTCGCAATAACCGTAGTTCGTTATAAGCATATATACAGCATTTATAAGACAAATGGTCGGGACTAAAAAATTAGTTCGTTATATCGGTCAGTTCGTTATAAGCGTGTTCATTATAAACGTAGTTTACTGTACAATAAAACAAAAATGACAAACAAACATTTATTTCACATAGTCATTAACCTGAAAAGCATTCCCAAGGCAAAAACTAAAACAATTTCTTAAACATCTTCATTTATACTAGTTATATCAAAAAGGTGTATATAATATACGTGCTGGTGAGTATTAACCATTGTTGTATTAATATTAAAATTCAGTTTTGCTCTCGGATTTCCGTAACACTTGTTACATTTGTTTGATGAACAAGTAAACCCCACCGCAACACAATACCCCATTTCGTGTCTTTCATACACCGAAAATAACAGAAAATTCTTGGCATGTAGATTAATGCAATGCAAACAAAGAGAAATGGCGGGCGTCTCTCAATTTTGGCGTCATAGCTCCATTTCGTTCTGTAGCCGGGATTTCGCTATGCATACACGCTGGTTGTGTGTTCAGGGCAGTTGTCTGTTTCTTTTTATATTACAAAATAGTAATTTAAAGACGCAGCCGTTACTAAATCCCTCGGATCTAATTCAGGTATTGACGGCTGGTATTTAATCTCGCTGTACAATTTCAATATATAATCAATATGCTTTCGTCCTTTCCCTTACACACCTGGATCACGTCACTAGGCTTCACGACTGCTGTGCTTTAGAGAGTGAAGTAACCGACACTAGTCTTAATGGTTGGTTGGTTTGTTGTTTTACGCCGCATTCAGCAATATTCCAGGTATATGACGGCGGTCTGTAAATAATCGAATCTGGACCAGGCAATCCAGTGATTGATATCATGAGCATCGATCAACGCAATTGAGATCGATGACATGCTTCAACCAAGTCAGCGAGCCTGACCACCTGATCCCGTTTGTCGCCTCTTACGACAAGCATACTAGTCTTGATGAACTGATTTACTTTGTAATCTCCCAAACACACACACACACATGCCCAACGGATCCCCTGAAAACATGCGTTTCTGGTTTGGGGTAGTATTTACTACCATGTTGAAAATGACTGGTGTAAGATGTTTCACTATGTTTATGTGGTACCTAGAACGTCCTGGCCAATAGTACAAATGATACATGTACGGGAGTTAGCGTTGGCCAGGTGGGCAAATGGTATACATATACTGAACCAAATTAAAAACATTTTAACATTTTGACCAGTTATCATTGTGGGCCCTTATTGTGTATTTAAACAGTAATGGCCACGTATTGTCTTCAGATAACAGCCGTTTTTGTGCAGGTTAATCGATCAAAATCATGTGCACACCACTGTAGTGGCAAAAGCTGTTTTTCATGTGCAACTGGTCACGTGGCCATAATACCGCGCGTGTTTTCAGCCATACTTGTTAGCAGTCATTAACAAAAAAAGAAAAACACAAGAAAACATAAGTCTTTACGGCCATTTGTCATACCACGCCTTTCAAATGTGCAACGTGAACGTGCCATCGGCATGTTGCAGACGGGAACGTCCGTAGCTGAAGTCGCAAGGACGATGGGTTGTAGTCGACGGACTGTTTATGATTTACAGACGCGTCTACAGCAAACAGGTACCACCGCTAATCGGCCCTCGGCCAGGTCGACCACGTGTGACGTCACATGCAGAGGATCGTCAGATTGTCTTACGTCACCTCCGTAACCGATTTTTGACGGCTACATCAACCAGAAATGAACTGTTTAGGGGTAGACTGAGTGCGCAAACTGTTCGAAACCGTCTGGGAACTGCTCACCTTCAAGCACGACGGCCATACTGCGGGCCGATTCTGACTCAATTACACAGACGTCAACTTCAATTGTAGGCACAGCGACACTTACGATGGACTCAGAGGAATTGGAATCAAGTCGTCTTCAATGATGAATCCCGATTTAATCTTCGATTTGCTGATAGTAGGGCGAGGGTGTGGAGGCGCCGTCATGAACGTTACGCCCAGTGTTGTGTACAGGAAGTTGACAGATTTCGAGGCGGAAGTGTCATGGTGTGGGGTGCTTTCTGTGGCAATGCACGTTCCAGGCTTCTTGTCATCCGTGGCAACCTCAATGCTGCTTACCGCGACCAGGTACTGGCACCAGATCTTCCAACACGACAATGCCAGACCCCACACAGCAATTTTGACAAGGAAATTCCTTCAGAATGCGGGAGTCAACGTCATGGACTGGCCGTCAAGGTCTCCCGACCTCAATCCCATCGAACACGTCTGGGATGCTTTGGCAGAAGTCTGCGCACTCTCCAGAACCAACCACAGAATTTGCAAGATCTTGGCACCATTTTGCAGCAACAATGGCGTCGTCTTCCCAATCCTGTGTTCACAAGCATCACAAGGTCCATGCGGAGGCGTTGTGTGGCAGTTGTCAACGCACACGATGGCCATACACGCTACTGAACTTGTGTGCCATCAGATTCTCGTGCTTGGGACTTTTTAAACTGTTGATGTTATTACCGAATAAATGGAACAAATTATGGTTACCACCGTTAATTAAAATCCTTCTTTGGACATTAATGATTAAAAATTCTCTGATACATTTGTCCGTTTTATATCATATATTGGATTACTTTTAAAAATGTGAAGTTTTTATAAGAGAACAGCTGGTTATATTTCGTTCGAGAAATATTTGACATTTACACATTTAAAAACACGTATTAAGAAAAGCTTTCGATTTCTTGTATGATATGGACAGACCTAATGGAACTCATTTTGTCTTTTACTGCGTGATAATTACATTTGTTGCATTTCAGTAATTTTATAAGTCAGTATTGGCGTTGTCAAAATAATAAAAATATTCGGCACATATACACAAGATACGAATAGGAACGTTATCTCAAGTCGAAGATTTCTGGTTCTGGTATCGAGGTATGTAGAATGATGCTTAGGCAATGATATTTGGAATTGTATATTCTAGCATCTTTGTTTTAAACATTATATAAAAAGAAATATATTTACTGTGCCGGGACCTTGGATAAATATGTCTGTTTTGGTACCAAATCTACTCAAAAACCTTATATAAAAAGAAATATATTTCCACAATCTTTCATGATCAAAACATGAAAATCATAAAGCAGTAAATAGTTCCAGAAGAGGTGCAGGGACCCATCACTCCAAAACCATATACATACATCGACTGCTTTATTTTGTTACTTGTTGTTCCCCTGTCTGGCGCTCGGCATTAAGGGGTCAAAACAAGGACTGGTCAGCTCGGAGTCAGTTTACTGTGAGTGGGGTATTCATGTTAAACAGTGGCGTTGTATCTCAGTGGACTAGCACTATAAAATGATAATATCTTCATATGTCCGGACTAACACACACACACTAACACACACACACACACACACACACACACACACACACACACACACACACACACACACACACTGACACTGGCTGACATGTATGTTTAAGAAATCTCTTTTCTACATTCTTCCATATGTGTAACCAACAATTCCCAATCATATATTAATACAAATGTAGTGTACTATCCAACATTGTAGAAGCAACCTTATGAGAAATAGACAGACAATTCTACAAATATTTCAAAACGGAAAAGAGAGTCTTCATTAACAGATTATTTAGTGCTCTTTATCTGTCCACCATTTTTGCGTAAAATGAAGGACTTGCCTAAGTCAAACACCATTGGTTCCGGTAACATTTCAACATATCAAGTTTCGAAACCACGATCATAGGTTTCTGGCTCACCTCAGAGACGCAAGTTGCGGCGCCTGGGTCCCATGCCACACCCCTCACCCCACCACCCTCATCACTCCTTACACAGTGACAGAGATACGATTAGGAATATCCTTAGACGTTTTTAATAATCTTTCCGACTTTCACATGTGTCCATCCAGCCGGAGATATCGGGGTACGAATTTCTATGTTGGTCTAGGGTGTGGAGACTAATACACATCTCGTAGCTATTTGATTTGAAAGGAACCTTTTCATACTGCGCATGTGTTTTGAGAAGGTCAAGGTAGGCAGATGTGTTCTTATTCAGATATGAAAGATGCGCAGCC